TTGAACCAGTTTTAACTTCAAGAAAGTTAAAGAATTTAAATATGACAGGTTATACTTGTTATAAAAAATCTGTGTATAGGAAATCTCTAATGTCATAGTATGTGCCCTGTATTAATGGTATGTTCTTATTTTAGATACGAAACATTTATAACACCCTCTTAAAAAAATAAAACGTCAGCAGCAGAAAAGTTTACGTGACCAGTCAACATTTTCTTCCTTTTTTAACTTCTTATTCAATTAATTTATAAAGTTATTTTACCTTTTAAATTGCCTTGTTTGTTTTGTCTGATGTACAAAATAGGTGAAAAATTAACCTCAAACACGTAAATAATTTGTTTGAATGTGGTAGTTAGTAGTGGTTATGATGAATTATGAAATAAAATATCTTGGACCGACATTTTGACATCATGTCTTTAATTTTGAAATTTTAAACGTTTTATTCAGGTGTAGTAGAGCAAAGCATTCACCGGTAACAGAGTTTTATGCAGTCAGGGGCGAGGTTGTGCACTTAGTGTTTCCCCATTTTCCCCAGAGAATCTGCATTCGCCGTTGTTTCTCAGCTTCAGCCTACTGAGGTGTTCATTGAGGAGACAGTGTCCTGTTAGAAACCCCGTGACAATCCGAAGATTGTTTTTACTTAAATCAAGGAAAACCTTTCATTTTTCTCGGTCCTAAGTTCTGAGGAACTTTTTTGAATGTCTTAGACCCTTAGAGGACACCCATTCCAAGTTACGGATGGAGTTTTCCAGATTCTTCAGTTCCGCTTTCAGTTAGTTCCCGTTTGGAAAACAGAACGGTTCTGGTCCAGTTAATGGAGTGTTCGCTTCTTTCGTAGCTAGATCATTTCCTTTTTCATTGCCTTCTATCCTTTGGTGAGCAGGCACCCAGAGTACGAGGACTTTATATTCTTTGCCTAATTTGTTGAGCTTCTTTGGGCATTCTTTGACCAACTTCGAATTGATGGTTACTGAGTTGATCGCGTTTAGTGCTGCTTGACTATCGGATAGGATGGCAATTTCCTGTTGTCGATAGTTCCTATCTAAGACAAATTGTACGCATCTTTCGATAGCGTAAATTTCTGCCTGAAGGATACTAGGGTAGGTGCCCATTGGTTCGGTATATTTAGTTTTCGGCCCAAATACTCATATCCCTGTCCCTGCTTTGGTTTTGGAAACATCAGTATACCACGTTATGGTATGGTCTTTTATATGCTGAGTAAGCGTTTCTTCCTTCCAATCCTATTATCGCTTACGATTCAAAGTCTCGCAGTGACATAACATGTGCTCTGCTGTTTCAGGATCTTTATCACAGAGTCTGCAGCAAATACTTTCTTGATACAGGTTGAGGTGTATATCTACTAACTTTAGTTATAATAAATTAATATAGTTATAATTAACTTATCTATTAATGTATTTATTAATGTAATGCTTCTGATAATAAAAGGATTATAAAAAATACATAAATATATAAATTATAACCTCCATTACAAATGTTGGGAAATATCAGGTTGTCTAACTTTTAGGGTCATCAACTTTTGCTTTTTTGTCCTATAAAGCACAATACATTATTTAAACTATTTCTGATGGGTCAATCGATAAGAAAGTGAGATAGAAACGAGGTCAAATACCAGGTGACATCTACGTAATCAAGACTTCAATATTTCATTAATGGGAGAAATAACCTGTACATTAAGCATCTGGATAATAATCAGAAATAGAAATAGTAGGAGTTTAACAAAACATAATGATTACCTATCTCTCCTATCGATAATTATTGTTAATGGATCAATTTGCTTTTTACTTCTTATTAAATTTTAACATTATGCTCAACAAATGCTCGTGTATGAATGAAAAAATAGTTTTACTTATACGAAACATTCTTTAGTAGTAGTTATTCGGCTCTCAAAAGATTATTATAAAGGCATTACATTTTTCGATATAGCGTACCGTTTGAATCATTATTTTGAATTCCAACTGATATTTTAAAGGACTTCTAAAACTTCTTAAAACTTATTTAAGATAATGTTATACTTAGATAAAGCTTAACAATGTTATTTACAAGTATGAAGAACAAATAAAAATAAATATTGTGTATAGAAAACAGAAATATCAGGCTAATTATGTTTGAAAAACTATGGTCTGTTACTAGGTCAAATAAACAGGTGAATATTGCAATATGTAGACGACATTGCAATAATTACTAACATAAAATCGATACAAAAGCATGCAATGAATAAGGACAAGAGAGAAAAGTAAAATTTAGATTAAAAATATTTTAAAATGATTAGCTTTATAATTGAACTATAGTTCCGTTAGTACACGTAACTTCAAAAAATAAAAAACACAGGTAATTCGCAAGTGTTTTACATCTTCCAAAACGCAGGTTATTTGGCATAATTTGAAACAAATTATAACCTGTAATTTGGCAAGACTTTGACAAGCATAAAAAATCTTTAAGTCGAGTTTATACGCATCTGCGCCCGTGCATCGTTCATTGTTCCGTCACTCAAATAATATTAAAATATGATCTGTCATTATTTAAATAAACCAATAAAACTGGTTAAAAACAACAAGAGACGACGCATAACGGCATAATATAAACCCATCCGTAGTTAACTTAAAAAATATTAGAAATTTCTTTTTAGTGAAATAAATAGATTGGTATGGACAGCATTTGCTTTTTCTCTGTCATCGTCTGTCAAATTCTTACCTGAGTAATAAAACAGAGTATATTGTGTTACACGTCTATTTATAAGATAATATTTCGAATCTTAATAAATTTAAAAACTATTTAACAATTATTGTAAAGAAATACCACCAACATTTATTTAATACACATTTATAGTAAAATATTTGGTGTGTATTATTATTCCATACAAAAATAATTAAATTATAATTAATTATAATAAATATATAGTTACTTTACTTGAGGTATAAATTAATACAACTGCTAAAAATTACTAAGTCTAGAGAAAATTAGTACCATGGTATGATAAGTTATGATATTATATTAACTACATATTTTTGAAATACCTCACCTCATTTAATTGCCTTCAGTTATTTTGTAGATAAATGTAAATAGCAAATAATTTTCATTAAATTATTTTAATTTCTTTTAAATGTTTAACAATTAAATATTTATGACGCGTTGCTCCTATTTAGCAATATAGTTATTGAAATTCATTAAATAGAAATATTACCCTGATGTACCGTATAATCCAAAAAAACTGCATCCAATTGGCTGGGAAATGACGATCGATGATATTTCCCATAAAATTTACATATAAAGTGACAGCGATCTTCATTTCATAGCCATCATTGACCATTTTTTTTCGATAATACGGTATTAGTTTCTTAATAATTAAAAATTTACACAACGTTTTGGTCAGACACCGGATGCGACTCAAAAGTGCCCCCTATAACTTTTTATTTTTTACAGATAAAAATAAACAAGATTTGGTATGTTAATATATGACATAAATTAGGACTGATTCACGTATTCAATTCTTTTCGGCCACTTCCTGTTTTACTGGAAATTTCCTATAACTTTTGATTTTTAAATGGCATCCTCGGTATTTTTCTACTTTATTCGATAGAAAATGACACTCTGAATAGAATAATAAATCATATGTCAACTTTTGACATTTTTGAATATAGTTTATTTGAAATTACAATATGCGATGTGTGTGGTATCAAATTATTCTTAAAAAATGCCTTTTACAAATATGCTAATGAGTCACCTTCTCCATTTGAAAAAATTGAGATATGATTAAAAATACCATTTGGACATCTTATAACCGGCCAGGACAAAACACTAAAAACATTAGACGATCAAATATATTTTTCCAAAGCTCCTTCATTATAAATTAGTGTTTTAAAGACAGCCATGGCACACTAGATTTAAATTTAAAATACAATTTTGTTTTAAGCGAAAATGTCAAAAGTTGACATATGATATGTCATTCTATTCAGAGTGTCATTTTCTATCGTATAGAGTAAAAAAATACCAAGGGTGCCATTTAAAAATCATTGTAAGGTTTAAAGTACGTTTTATAAATAATTGCCAGAGAGTGCTAAATTCTATACTTGGATTGCTGAAGATGCCGCTAGATTTAAATTTTTTATTAGATTATATTATATAAATCGGATTCTCTCTTGTGGAATGGAAACCCCGAGCTTTTGACCACTTTAAGTTGTGCTGTTTGAGCCACACATACCGTGTAAAAACAAAATTCAAGTGTTTCATTTTTTGTGTATGTTTTTTTTATGTCCGTTAAATCAAATTCTTAGAGGACGTTTTGTCACTTCCTTATGCAACGGGGCTTCTTAAAATACATAAATGTGATCGAAAAAACGGCGTCAGCGATGGCTATGAAATTAAGACCACTGTCATTTAACATGTGAAACTATACAGGATGTTGCATCGTCGAGCGGGACATAGAAAATCCCATATAAATTTTAATGGGGTCAATTATTGGCTGCCCTAATTATTTTAACCAAACCAAACACCAGGTATAGAATATCATTGATTTTCATTTCCAAGCCGTTTCCTTTTTCGATTGTACGGTAGGTCCAGACTGGAATCCAGTTTCAGAATGGAATCGTTAAGAGTATGAGAGCATCTTGTTCAGGGTCTATCAAGCTAAGGAGTCTTTGCTGGAAACTCTGCAATAAAGATCCTGAAACAGCAGAGCAAATAATATGTCACTGCAAGACTGTCACTAGAGCTGAACTCCCATCTTATCAATGACCCGCATAAACCGATGCGAGGACACAGGTATAGAAGACTATGTGCAGACATCGAATAAAAAGGAGCAGACTATAAGATAATGTAATTTGCATTATTTCCATTTTCTTTATCGAAACACTAACTAATTTAAGACCACGTACTCTAAATATAACTTTTAATTATATTATAATCGCCATGCGCCAAAACACCGCTGGCCGCCGTCGGTAAGCCAGACTGACCGGCGGTCAGTCTAGAAAAATCGTACACCTGGAGCCGACGCGTCGGAGGCGGTTGCCTTATACCGGCTTTTCCTTAACTACTTCGTCGCTAATAAGTTCACTTGTATCGCCTTGAAATCGATTCCTTGAAAAGGCACGTTACACTCATGAAAAAGGCCGACCCAAGAACAACACCGCTTCCAAGAAACGATTGTATGTTTTGAATATTTAAATTATATTTACTTTTTATAACAACTGGTAATATAATTAAGTTTTTTTTTCTTAGAGATTCGTGTTTGGTATTATTAGTACGTGAAATAAGTATGTTAATAAAAACAACAATTATTATAAGAAATCAGATCTTATGTATTCCTAATTTATTGAGGTATGAGACACGGTTCTTTACTAATATTAAACATTTGAATAGTACACAGGAAAAAGGATGTGTGTTCATAAAAAACAAATGTCCAGAAAAGGGTTTTTTAATTCAAATTACGCATGTACTTATCGTTATCGTTTTTCCCATTTTTAAATGCCTTTTTCTATGTGACCGTGACCGTGTTATTCAGGTACCAAAAGGTGTTGCAAAAAATGGAGTTTCATCGTTTTTCCCGTGTGCTCTTCATTTAATTATAATAACTTTTTTAGTATACCGAGTCTGGCAATAGTGCGTCAGGCATCCGATAATAAAAAAAATCGGAATTTTATTTAATTGCTGACTAAAATATGTATTAGGATGTATTTCCGGAAAATATTTTAACTACTACTAAGGAGACATTTATTTATTGTTCCTGCATCTGTGAGCATAGTAAATTGTTCCTTCTAAGAATAACGTGTTTAATATTTGATACCGTATACATTATGTATGTTAGTAGAAATCAAAATCGATAAAATTGCAAGTTTTTCATAATTTATGCCGGTATGAAGGACGTTTCTCTGTTATTGTTCTATATTTATTCTATTTTATACTTAAATCGTGTTTTACAAATCAAAATGAGTAACAGTAAAGCTAATAATTGAAGGTGAATATTAATTTAAGTTTATAAATTTAATATAAGGCGACCAGAGATATTTTAATAATAACAATCAAGATTTCTTGTTTTTACATTACGACTAGTAATAATACCAGATACGAACTCTAAGCCTACGGCTATACAGAAAGCGAGTAGACAGTTTTAGCGTGTAAAACTTTTGCGACTAGAAACAAAATAACACAAATATTCACGAGTGGCCTGACCAAGACCGTGTATCGTTTAGCGCTTCCTGAAGACCCATACTCACTATTTGCTGATTCGTTTCGTCGATGCGATTCGTTGGAAATTCTTCAATTCTGTTCATGATATTTCTATATGACTTTTGATATTTTGCCGAATTGCCGCATTGACGAACCGAATCAGCGAATAGTGAGTATGGGACTTAAGCGAAGACGCAAAAGAATATCGCAAATGAAAACAAATTAGTTTGTTTTTTTCTAGCGCCTTTCGCAATTTCTGCATGCACAACGTTGACAATTAATTTCAAATCATCAAAGATTATGTCTTTAATAGTATCAGAGGTTATAAAAATCCTATAATATGGGAACCTATACCTAGAGATCATAAAAATAAAATGATTAAAAGAGAACTGTGGAGAGAAATTAGTAATACCGCAAAGAGTAATGGTAATTTTGTTAATTGTTTCCTCTTTACTTTAAATTACACTCAGACGCAAAAAAATCGCAACGGAAATGTATTTGGTCAAATTTAAAGTGTTATATATTTGTTATTTTTAGCCCTATTATGTATATAAATATATCAACTTTAATTCATAAACTCAGTTATTAATTTTATAAATTTTAGTACACCCCGTGCAATAATTTCGTGAGCAAATAATTATTTTTCGGTCCGAACTCGAGCATTTTGTTTTTTTTTGGATCATGTCAATACATGCCTTGGTTAATTTTTAATAGCGAAATAAACTTGCTACTAACAATTTGCAATTTTTTTAATTTCCATTTCTTTTTTATGTTATTTGTCAATATGATTGCAAAATGATTGCACAGGGTGTTTTAAAGTTAGAGTAAAAAACAACAATTTGATAAACCCAGTAGTCACAAATCGAAATCAAACGCTAAAATATCACTAAAGACGCTTTAAACGCTTTACTCGCTTTCTGTATGTCCGTTGACTAAAACGTAGGAAAAATTATATATTTTTTTAATAAAGAAAAAACTAGTTATGCAACACGATGAAATAAAATGACACAAAGCTGATGGCAACGGACATGATAGTACCGAAGCTCTCCATGTCATCTGACGAAACGGATGACGTGGCCTTCAAGGTCCTCAACCAAGACAACTTGCCTAACATTGCCGTTGTCGGTGAAACTATCTTTAAACCATTCGGTAATGACCCTAAAGTTAAACCAAACTTAATAGTCCATCCCACGAGAAGAGTGGTCACTAATTTAGAAGAGAATAAGCAAAAGGTTTTTGCTAAATCTCATGGAAATATTAGCAATAATAACAACGTTAATAATAAAGTATTAAAAAAGAAATTCAGTAGTTCGTATAATCAATTGAATCATACTAATAGTACTACAGGAATCAAAATTGAAGATTTAAAAAGTCAGGTAAGTAAAGGAAAAAAGTATTTTAAATGTGGTTACTTGAAATTTGGAGTATATGAAATTGTCAAGTAAAAAAATAATCTAAAATATATAGGGTGAATCTTAAATAAATGGAAATATTTTACCGGTAGTTTATATCGATCCGAGAAAAACGATTATAAGTTTTTTTTTCGCGAAAAATTTTTTTTGATAATTTAGAATTTTTCTAAAAAAATTTTGGAAATTTTTACAGTTTTAAGTTAAAAAAAATAATTTCTTGATAATATGGCAACATTGGAAACCCCCGAAAAGATCCAGTGGTCCTCCAAATTTAAGCAAAAAACTTTTTTTTTTCAAAGTTAAATAACTCACTTATTTTGTAGTTATTTGAAAAACAGTAAAGAGAAAATATGTTTCTTTTATCGAGATCTATCAGCCCTGAAAATATTTGAACTTATTTAAGACTCACCCTGTAGGTATATGTTGGTAATAAATACAGAGTCTTTTTTATAATACAGAGACCGTTTATTTTTATGAATTAATTAATAATGCAATCTATGGATTCACTTAAAATCATATATGTAGGACTGACATGGATAAAAATGATGAATAGAAAACTTAAAAGTAAAAATTTATTTTTGCAAATGGCCACTGTTTTTACTTTTCTGTTTCAGTGTGACGGAATACCTACAAATTTACAATAAATAGGTACACATACAGAGTGTCCCAATATTCCGGGGATATAGAACAACTGCGTATTTTGACATCAAAATAAGTAAATTGAACACAATTTACCTCTATATGAAAATACTTCGATTGTCCATTAGAGGACAACAATTAAGATTATACATATACAGGGTGGCGCAACTCATTCGCCTCGGTTGATTATACGAAAACGGATTTCTACATAAACTAATGTCGATTTTGAAAATAGCTACTAAGTGTCACTAGAAAATTGTCATGGCGACACCAGCCAACTTGATTACAATTTTATTGAAAATCGTTTTTTATTCAAAATCTGAGCCAGATAGGTATAGGAAACCCTAATATAGTTTGAAAGAGCATATAAATCTGCTTCGACTTATTTAAATAAATACACAAATCATATATATACTATTTGAAATAACGAAGTTTTTAAGCATAATAAATATTTAAAATAGACCAGCAATTTTTGATACCCCTGTATACATTTAAAGAGGCAATCAAATTTTTTAGTAAGTTTATTTTTCTGGCTTGAAAGTCAGCACAAGAATTAATTCTGAAAAGTAATGTACAAGGTGTTGACAAACTTTTTTATTATAGCATGCATATTTAAATATTTTTAAATATCTCAAAAACCAAAGCTTTTAAACATATTAAACTCTTATAATAAATGCCTTATTTTATGTCCAACAATCCAAAAATGAAATAAAATACCGGGTGTTGCGTAAGAAAAAATATAACTTTGGTATAGATCTTAGTTCTGACACACCCTGTACATTTCAAAATAATTTTAAATTATGCACATTTCCTTACCACATATACCCATAAAATAATTTGTTTCTACATCTTTCCGTTTGCGTATAATCAACCGAGGCGAATGAGGTGCGCCACCCTGTATACGTCCAAAATCACTTGTGACGCTAAATAATATTCTACATTTTTATCAACTAGGTTATTATCGCCGATTTTGACAATTTCTTTTCATCGACATTAACGGACCGTTCTACGCCGGAAACACTGCGACCTGTCAGGCCTATTGTGTTTGTTTCTTTTCTATGTCTATTTCTATGTCCCTATCCCTATGCCCTGCACCAGCTTCTGTAAATCCTTTATAGGATGTGAGCATAGTTCCTCCGTTCTAGCCTTACTTTCCCAAATAGGAAAGTGTACTTTGCCATCCAAAGTCTCGCAGTGACATATTATGTCCTTTCCTGTTTCAGGATCTTTATCGCAGAGTCTGCTGCAAAAACTTCGTTCATACAGGTTTAGCTTGTTCCGATAGCACTTGGCAGCCATATATCCTTGCAGCAATATTGAAACTAAAATGATTATAATATTAACTGTACTATGTTTGTATGAATGGGTTTGCTCTTAATACTAAGACTATTGTTGAAAATACCTTATTGTTTTTTTTCTGCGTGTATTTGTTTTTATTTGTATTTCTTTCTGGATTTCTTTGAAAAAAATAATTTAGGTGTCTAACAAAACATAGACAACACAAATCTCATTCAAATGGGAATATCAGTTCTTAAAATATCTTAAAAATGTGTATTTTTTAAATTTAATGCCCTCTAACGAACAAACAAGCACCTAGTATAAAGGTAAGTTGAGTTAAATTAACCCTGAACTAGCGTGGTGGATTTTTGTAACGCTTATGGCGTGCTGGGGTCTGACGGACCCCAATTTTTTTCGGTTAAAAATACATGATGAAGAGATTTTATAAAAGCTTGTTATTTTAACACTGTTTACAATATATTCAAACTTGTGAACAAACAATTTCATTAATTTTCAACAAATTAATAAGAACGGACACAAATATAAAGTAAAACGCATTTTTAGGAATTTTTGACAACAGAAATATAACTTGGCTAAAGGAGGGTCCACATTTAGTAACATGTTGTAATTTTTTTGACAATTTTTTGAACAATGAGTATAATTTTGACATTGTTGGAGTTTCCGAAACTTGGCTGTCATCGGATCATAATGATTCGGCATTTGGAATAAATGAGTATAATTTTATAAGAAAAGACAGGGATGGCCGAGGTGGTGGTGTCGGTATTTATATAAAAAAACATTTTCAATATCAAAATATTCAGTTTGATATTCCCACGGATATTTGTGAAATAATTAGTATTAAATTTAAACTAAACAAGAAACATATTTTATTCATAAATATTTATAGGGCGCCATCATTGGACACTGATAATTTTATCGATACTTTAAGTGACCTAATGAGTATGACAGTGCCGTTCTACGATTGTGTGATTTTTCAGGCGATTTTAATATAGATTTTTGGGCGAGTCTCGTTTTTCATCCAGAATCACTAATCTTATTGATACTTTCAACCTTGCTCAACATATTACGCAACCAACGCGCATCACCGATACTTCATCAACATTAATAGATGTCATAATAGCAAATATCAATATGCCGTGCATTTGTAGCCATTCTTTGGCTATTTCTGAGGAACTATCGGATCATTGTTTGGTGTATTCTATATTTAACCTAAAAACCCTTAATAATTGTGAAAAGTATATCGAATTCAGAGATTATGACGCTTTGCGCTTGATGAATTTGAAGAAGACGCAGTGCAATTACCGTGGTACCAAGTCTTTTATATTAGTGATATAAATGAAAAATTACAAGTTTTCAATGATTATATTTTGTATCTCGTTAATAAGCATGCCCCAATTAAACGTAAAAAAATTCGTGAAAGACCGTTTATGCCATGGATTACAAGTAATATTTAATTATTAATTAAGCTGAGGGACAAGGCTCGGAATAATTATTTAAAAGATAAGAAAGATACTCGCTTAGAGTACTACAGACATTTGAGAAATTACACGAAACATGCTATAATTAGAGAAAAGGTTGCTTATTTTAAAGATTTTTCAATGAAAAAAAATAAAGAGTTCTGGAACACGGCTAAAAAACTTAATATAGCCAGCAAATCAAATGTTGATATACCCGCAGATTTAGCTAATGCAGAAGGTATTAACACACATTTTGCAAATTGCAGTGACATAGATGACAGCACTTCATCAGATAAAATACAATTCTACCAACATAACACATTTTCCAATGTTTTTTCTAATGAACTTAATTTTCAATTAATTGATTATGCTACTTTAAATACTATAATAAACTCCATATCATCTAATGCGATTGGAGATGATAAGATATCAATTAGAGATTTAAAGCTTTGTTTACCGTTTTGTAAGGACGCTTTAATAAATATAATCAACTCTTGCATACTTGATTGCGTATATCCAGATATCTGGAAAAAATCTATTATTAGACCTCTAGCCAAGGTATCTGTTCCAAAAACTTTTAATGATTTACGACCAATCAGTGTTCTATCGGTGGTCTCTAAGATTATTGAGAAACATATTCATAAGCAGTTATTTTCATTTTTTACCGAAAATAAAATAATGCCAGAGTGTCAATCCGGTTTCAGAAAAAAATTTAGTACAACCACATGTCTTGTAAAACTGGTGAATGACATTCGAGTAAATATGGAAGACAAAAAAATCACCTGTCTTGCTTTGCTTGATTTTAGCAAGGCATTTGATACTATAAATTATGATATGTTACTAGCTAAACTCCATTACTTCGGATTATCAGAAAACTCTATAACGTTTTTTAAAAATTATCTTTCTAATCGTCTGCATTGCGTTCAAGTAAGACAGGGGAATCATCAATTAAAGTCAAATTACGTTTCTATGACATGTGGAATTCCTCAAGGATCCATATTAGGGCCATTGCTATTTTCATTATATGTTGCCGATATGAATAAAGAAATGAGTTTTCTACATTACAACAGTATGCAGATGATTCACAAATTTACTGTGCTTTTGCATCTGATAATTTAAAACAAGCTGAAGAAAATTTTAAAACAGATATTAATAACATATACAAATATTCAATGGAACATAATCTAAAATTAAATGCATCCAAATCGTTTATTATGCTGTTTGGAAATAATCAGACTATTCTCAATTATCTATCAGACAATCTTGATATATGTGTTAATAATACTAAAATACCAATAGTTAAGGACGCTAGAAATCTCGGCATATATTTTGACTCTAATTTAAAATTTGATATACATGTAAGAAATAAATTGAAAATTGCATATATGCGACTAAAAGGTTTGGTTTATTTTAAGAAACATCTTCCTCAGAATACAAAATATGATCTTTGCAATTCGCTAATTTTGTCCTTGTTTGATTATGGAGATGTGGTATACGGCTCTTCATTGACTCAAATGGTTGCCATATCCATTCAAAAACTTCAAAATTCCTGCATGAGATTTTCGTATAATATCTCATTTCATACACATATTACGCCATATTTAAATCAATTTAATATTCTGTCTATGGTAAATAGGCGAAAACTTCATATGTTAACATTTATCTACCGTATCTTACAAACTGGCCAACCGCCTTATTTAAAATCATTGTTTATTCCTTTTAACCACACTCATGTAACAAGAAACTTACATCGTTTCAGAATACCTCAACATAGGACGGCTGGCTTTCAGAAATCGTTTTCTTTTCTTGCGCCTCAATTATGGAATTCTCTTTCAATCAGTGTTAAATGCTTTAAATCACATTATTTTAATAAATATGTTAAGAATAATTTGCTGGTTTTACAATCGAATATAATATAGAACTTATTTCTAAATTTATCTTTTATCTTTTGTTATTTTGGCAAACTGTGGTGAACGGGCCTTTAATTTGATATGGTTTTGACTGGCTCACTGCTCAGCTTTACAATTTTGGAAAATATTTGTGTATGTGTTGAAATTGTATTTATATATTTTTTAACATTGCTAAATTGTCTTGCAGACGCTTTGTTCTGTGCGCTCGGGGTTTCTTTTTTGCTTTGCCGGTGGTCCTCTGTTTTTCTTACGGGTTTGTTTGTTGTTGGTATATTATTGTATTGAAAATGAAATTCTGTTTAGTTATTTTTTACAGGGAGTGTGCCACACTGATGCCTTTGGCAATCAGTGAATCGGTTTTGTAATCGCGGTGCACTCCTTATTAGGCTATTAGGCTATTAGTCAGCCAAAGTATGGTTTATATTTTATATATTTTTTATATTGGGGCCTAATAAAAAGATTTGATTTGATTTGATTTGATGTTATATAACATTGCTATTTAACAAGCTACATGTAACATAAAAACCGGGAGCCGTCCACATTATAGTTTTCGTAGTCATGAATCGTTTTAGCGAGAAAGAGGTTCAGCTCGCAGCAGCGGCGTGCGTAATTATTTTTGAACTAAGGGAAAGAAAGTCGAGAAAAAAGCGGTTTTGAGTCCGCCATAGCCTACCAGCAAGATCTAGATACAGTTGAACTCAATTAGCTTATCTTTTCAATACTTGCCTCGGCTGTTTCTCGTGGTGTGTTTCTGTCTTTTAAAAACAATAATTTACAGTACGTCTCGTCTGCTGGATCTGTGTCTATGAAAGGAATGCGGACAAAAAACATTTAAATAAACAGCAATATATTCTATACGTCGATTTGACGAGTGCGTCACCGCAAATCGCTCCGCCCACTCATTTTATTGGCTACTTGCAAATTTGTCGAATTTTTATTGATGGGACGCGTCGTCTATTTTTTACAAAAAACATCGAGAGAATATCGTTTAAGATATCTAAGATTCTGTCGCGCACGTCCCTGTAAATATGAGCGGTTAAACTAGAAATTTAGCAAGTGTGGACGCGTTGTTTCATGTTACAATAGCAATGTTGCACAACATCTTTTGATCTTTACCGACTACAAATGGATAACATCTAGCAAGTTATATAGCATCGAAATTTGCTAAATATAACTAAAAAATATGTAACATGTTATATAACTTTGCTATATAGCAGTGTTATATAGCAAGTGTGGACCGTCCTTAAGAAACACATAGAAATTAAAAACATATATATTTTATAATTTTACCGTATTATTAAAAGTACAAACAACTGAAATGTGAAGCTAAAGTAATAAACAAATTATTTTCAACAAACCTGCAAAGCTTGAATGTACATATCTTTTTCAAATACAGTTCATGCTAATATAGGATCTGCATTTGCCGCACATGGATCGTGCACATTTGATTCATAAGATTTTTGTTTTTTGTCATTTCTTCATTGACATATGGTTTTTATATACCATTCTTATAAGTATCTCTTTCTTTACTAGTATTGATGATTTATTTTTCTCTCTTCTATAAGTAAGAGATTCAGAATCGGAGTTATGGTTACTTTTCGGAGAAAAAACAGTGTCTCAATGATCTTCATCTCACTTAAACCTCTTTAAGTTCATCAAACCACTCAATTAATGCTTCCTCAAAATTAGCGTCCCAGTGAGGCACACTTTTTAGACTACCCACCATCCTAATAATGAAACATTCTTGGCGTGATGGTGCCACACAGACCCCAATGAAACTTTAGCCCCCGCTGGTATGAACAATACTTGATAAAATCAAGTGCGCCTTAACAGTTGCATATTGGTACCCTAACTTAAAGGTAAATGGCGCGGCGCCGGCGAGGCCTAATTGTTAAACGTAAACATTTTACAGAGATTTAAATAGTGCTTGCGGTTCGCTAGACCCCACCACGCCAGTTGAGGGTTAATTTATTTTGATTCCAAAAATACGTAGTAGTTCTGTTATCGGAATATTCAGACACCATGTATTCATGTTTCAGTCATATGTAGATACCGTATGACCGAAAAAAAACAGTGCCAAAGATGGCTTGGGAATGACAATCTACTCGACAATCTATAATAATTTTGTCGAGATCAATCTCTAGACGTCATTTTCTAAAAATTGACATAAATCTTGTCAAAATTAACACTAATCAGAGAAAGAATAACAAAGAACGTTTTCAGACACACAAATCTAGTTTCAAAAAAAAAATTCTCTCATTTTAAACTACACCATTTAAAAATCATTTTTACTCAATATGAAAATAAATTATAACCCTCCTAAAGCCAACTGGCAATAAGCGCCATTAAAAAATAAAGAAGAGTACGGGCGGACAAGTAATGATCTCTGTGGCTTGAGCTCGCCAAAATTATCATCGATTGTCATTCCCCAGCCGTTTTCATCAACGCCGTTTTTTTTTCGATCGTATGGTTTAATGTAAGTATTATTTTTAGTTTTTGTAAAGTTCAGTCCTATTCCAAGCCCACAAAAACAACCCGCATAGACATTAAACTAATGAAATCGATTAGCGTATAGTTTAAATTAAGAGTCTTAATAAAACAATTTAAAAATAACTTGTTTACTGAGAACTCCTTTATTGAAAGCGTGCATGCAATGAAGTTCACTTGAACTGAGTTATGATTTTTAATTAACCTACAACGCTTAATTGCGAACTTTAATTGTTCTTATCTAAATAAAATCGCGAGCTTGATTGAAAGATATACGTTATTACACAAATACTAATTAACTTTGATTTCATATGCTTCAATGTCCTGAAAAATTACATTGGCTGACCAATGCTGGTTTAAAATCCAGAAATCACTATCTTTATTTAAATATTTAGGTGGACTCCAAGTTCACCAAAACTTTGGATGCCAAACTAAGACGACTGCAAAAGGAAGAGAAACAAACGAAGAAAATCTACCAAACCAATCACGTAGATAAGCACCGCAAGCCTTTCGTCACCACCGTTCCCAAAGGAACCTTTTTAGAGCCACCTCACGAAATAGAAAAATTGTTTAATAAGGAACTAGCAAAATGTACAAAAGAATTGGAGGCGTCCAAGGCCAAGAAAGAAGATGCGAAAAAGTTGTTCACGTATGCCAGTCAGCCGAGAGTATTGAATAGGAGTCCAGCCAAGTTTGTGCACGTGCAGAAATGTGCTGCTGCGTTGGCAGCTGCTAAGATCATTGGAAGTGTGGCTGGATTAAATATAGATGATATCGAAGCTGCACAAAAGAATGATCAGTAAGTTTCTTTTACAGTAGCCTCACACTTTTATGCAAAAATACATTTTTTAATAAATTTAATTTTTTTCTGAGCGTTTCATTTTAAATCTTAAATATTGTCACATTCTGAGTTGTTACTAAGGAAGCAATTAAATGAAATAAACCGAGAAACTGTGCACATCGCTAAGAGACGTGGAAGGGGATATAGCAAACCAAACCTCTGTCAGTACTTAAAGTTTTAGGGAAAGGTGTACGTCATGGGTTCAGCTTCACGATTTAATTACGTCTCGTAATAATTAATTTGTTTATTTATTAACGAGTCGTTATAATTTTCCCTATAGCTTGAATTTTTTTAAGTGCAAGCTAGAAACGCTTGCATTTTTGGTAAAAATAAGTGGAATTGAGTGGGTGTTCGACAGTGGTCGCGCTATTAGAATTCTAAATTCAAAAATCGATATCTCGAAATCTATTAGAAATAATAGATTGTAGTTTTTTCAAGAACTTTGTTAATATTTCTGCTGTGTTTTCTTTATAGACAGTATGTGAAAATCTTTATCAATAAAAAAATAACACGATTACTGAAAATTGCTATGCTCTAAAAGTAAATGGATGGATTGTTTACAATTTTTGAATGGAAAAAACAACCTTATCGAATTTTTCTTATGTAAACGTATTGTAAAATATCCGATCCTGAAAATAAAAAAAAGTTTCAATATCTAAAGTGGTTCTTGAGTTATGGCCTGTTATGTGTTAAAAAGTTGAGTTTTTAAATTATCGCGATTACTGACGTTTGTTCGTTATAAAAAAATGACACGCTAACGATATCCTTATAATTCCATTTCAAATGCTCAGAAACATGTCTAATGATTTTATCTAGTTATCTCTTGAAAAAAAAAGTCTTTTAAAAATAAGCGGTTTGCGATCGTGATTTTACTTTACTTGATAGGGGAAGGCGTATCGTCAACGCCGCAACAGCACACCGTCGCGCGTCGCACGTCGCGTCAGTCGGTCGCATTTCTCTCACTCCGACTTAATAAGATCCCTATGCGATTTACTTCCACACATGTAAATGTCGACCCAAAAGTAACAGTTGCCAGCACGGTATAATGTGCTCTGCTGTTTCAGGATCTTTATGGAAGAATCTACAGCAAGACTTCCTTGATACAGATTGAGCTTGTTCAGATAACACTTGACAACCATACGTCCTGTCAAGAGATATTTTGTAATCCGTACTTTATTCCAACTGAGCATTAACAGTCTCTTTGTGGTTTTAGAATTAAGTCCTTGGATGAAGGCCTTTCTATGCTTGTGTCCTCTCCAGCTGAAAATGATTGTTGCTTAAATTTTGTAAACCGCTGGATGTTTTTGGGTTTTCTTTCTTAATTTAATCTATTACCTATGTTGTCATATTATCAAGAAATTATGTTTTTAATTAAAAAGTAAAAAAAAATTGAGAAATTTTTTTGGCGAAAAAAACATCATAATCGTGTTTTCTGGGGTCGAAATACACTACCCCTCAAAATATTTGCACTTATTCTATATCAATTCGATTACTCGCCCTGTATATGAAAAAAACACTATTTAGAATATTAGTGTTAAAAATATTCACTAAGACATACTGACTAGTGACTATTTTTTTTTAATTTATAGGAACAATATTTTTTTTTAATAGTTCCAATAAAATGAATAAAAATGATTTAACTTAAGTATCTAAAGAAAGAAAATAATTGAAATGTTTTAAGTTTACAAATGTCAAAAATGAGTATGATAAATTGTTATCTTGTTAGCAGGCAACCCTTTATTAATTCCCTGTTCCTCGTAATAAAGGTCTAAAATGTTTTACTAGTATGTAATTTTAAACTATAAAGAATGAATATTTTAAATAACGCCGTATGTGAAATTTAACCTACATTTTTACTTTTATTATCTTACTGGGTTATCAACTTTCGTTTTTTTTCTAATTTCACATTTTACGAATTCGTAAGTACATATAGGCAAAGATATAGGTAAAATGTTGTGAGCTAGGATTCTTTGTTAAGGAATTAAATATTATTATTGTTATTATTAAATTATTTATTTTATTCATGTTAAGAGTCATAGACTTTTCACATAAACTGTACAATATATACCATCGATTTTGATTGAATCATGAAATTCTTCAACCAAATTAAACCATGTATTAACGAATACATGCTACCTTTGAACATACAAATAAACCACCTTCAATACTTCATCTCAATCAAAAGATGAAGTATTTAATCACTACTTAACAGTTTAATGTCGGCAAATTTATGACAAATGGAATGGTCTCGGATCACACCACCAATCCAACTCTTGACGCGCACCCACAACGTCCTGTTTCCGAACAGGGACGAATGGGATAAGCCGAGAAACGGCTTATTAGATGCGGAAATGTGTTGGTATCCGGACGGATCCAAAAACGATAAAGGATCTGGCGCAAGAATTTACTGCAGCAGTCCAAAGACTGAGATCTACCACAGTCTTGGAAAACACACCACAATTTTCCAAGCTGAGCTATATGCTATTGAAACCTGTGTGCAACTGCTGGTAGAAGAGCAATACACCGGGAAAATAATAAGCATAATTTATTTTCGGATAGTCAAGCCGCGTTGAAAGCACTTGAGGTAACGAAAAGCACGTCTATGACGATTCTTCATTGTAACAAACTACTCAATATATTAGAAGATAGGAACAAAGTGTCGCTAATATGGATACCGGGACATGTCGGCCTAGAGGGAAATGAGCGTGCTAATTCCCTGGGCTAAACTGGTGCAGACTCCCATTTATGGGTCCAGAACCGACACTTAGCGTACCAAAAAATCTCGCAAGAGACAGGCTTTGTGAATGGTTTAGGGGGCGACGTTTCGGGACTGGTATGATAGTCCATTACAAAAATACAAACAGTTTAATGTCGGCAAATTTATGACAAATGAATGAGAGATCTCAAGTAGCATTTGGACGTTATCTAACGTCGGATATACGTGGCGTTCAATAAACCCGACGGTACCAACGTCGGTTCGACCGCTTGACGACCCTTATTTGCACCTAAATGGGGAATACAGATTCGGGTCGCCTCGACGTCGGTATCTGACCTAATAGGGAATGTAATTCTACCAATTACCAACGTCATATTACGTTGGATTTTAGTCACTTAAAATTCGTCGCTAAGCACTTACATTACGTTTGGTTTCATATTCGTTACCAAGAATTCATAAAAACCTAACCAAACTACCTAATTACAAATGGATTCATAATCACTTCTCGAATATAACTATAAGTGCCTATCTAATTTCATATTATAATAATTCTGAATCATTAATCCAGACATCAGTTTTGTCAATGGAAGTCACTTTTTTATATATCTGTTAAAATACTCCGGAAAACAACGAGCGCTTTCAAAATTAGGTAGATTTATGAAATAAAAATATCTACAAAAAAGTAACTGGCAAAATATTTTTTTAATTTTCTAGCTGGTTTAATCATAAAACTGTACTGTGGTTCCCCCCAAACTCAACCTTATCAATATTATTCTACTAGAAATCGAAATGTGAATATAAATTTTAAAAACAAAAAACGATTTTAAAATGGCTGACAATCGGACACTTGTTAAGAATGGCGGATTTCTGTGTCCGACTTAATATGAACTACCGATATACCAATTCCGACCGGGTCTCCAACATTAGTCGTCTCACACGACCGAAGTCATCAAACCGGACGACCAGCAATCGTATTATGACGTATATAATTCCTAGGTACGCCACGTAACCTCACTTTGCATATCAGTGATTTGTGGATTTGTGCAACTATATTTTAGTTTTTGTTTTCTCCTTAAAAAAATGGGCAGCCACTTATTTAAGCCTAACCTCACATGTGGGAGGAGGATGGGGTCTGCTGGTTTCCTAAGCTAAAAAATGAAATTAAGATGCACCAGTGTAATGCAGCATCTCTTCCGGATAAAAAGCATTTATGGGTGGAGGCAAGATATCACTACTACTATTATTATTTTGCAAAAGCCTCGACCTCTTTTTGTAAAATGTAGATGAATGTCTAAATGCCTTTTTAGTGTTTTTTAGGCATAATAAAAAAATTAAGTTTGTTTACAAAAACTTTTTATTAGGTTATGTTCATGATGTTCATTAGGTCGCAAATGCTACTTAATGGGTTGTATTTACGGACGTAAATAGAGATACGTAAATTAGGTTATAAATATAAACATATACAACAAAATATAATTTTGGACGTTACTTTAGGGATTATCAGTGAGACGTGTCCTATTCGGACAACGGGTAGACGTCGGGCTAGTTCAAGTATGTACGTCGTGCAAGCCAACGTGGGAACGACGTTGGGAAATTAATAAAAATGGTACGTTGTTATTTTGTACGTCGACAGATCGTTGGATTTACCGACTCGGATCCAACGACGTCGCTTTTAATAGGAAAGCGACGTCACCGGTCGTATCACCAGCACCCGACCTAAATTTGCACAAACTCTGACGTCGCTTCAGGCCAGATTTATTTCGAAGTCAGATAGATGCTACTTGGGATGCTATTTACATTACCTTTTAAAGTATTCCGAATTCATCAGTTTCACTAAGTATACATAGCACTCTAACATAAAGACAACCAAACTAAATCACAACAGCATCCAAGGCAATAAAAAATCCCCCTAGTATCTAAACTAGCAAGGCAAGTATCATTAGAACCCTATCTTGGTCCAAAGCCCATCCAAATGGATACACCATAGTGCAGTAAAACTCTGGATCAGAGAAAATCAAACCGTCTACGTCTACTGGAAAAAAAATCAGGGGCACAGCCATAGAAAGGCCATCAACAAAGAATCTTATTCTAAAACCACAAAGCAACTGCTAATGCTTAATGGGGATAAAGTGCGGATTACAACAGGATATATATGACATGTCGTGCTATCTCAACAAGCTCAACCGTATGAAAGAAGTCTTTGCTGCAGACTCTGTGATAAAGATTCTGAAACATAATATGT